TTTTTTTTGGTCTTTTTTTTAAAATGGGAGTCTCCCTGTTGCCCCAGCTGGCCTGGAACTCACTATGTAGACCAGGCTGGCCTCGATCTTACAGAGATCTGCCTGCTTCTACCTCCCAAGTACTGGGATTAAAGGTGTGCACCACCACGCCAGGTGATACATCTTTTTTTCTTTTTTAAAGGCACAGGAGCCTGGGGATATAGCTCAGTTGATAAGAGTGCTTGCCTACACAGGCCCTGGGTTTAATCCCTATTACCACATAAACAAGAGGTGGTAATTCGAAGGTCATTCTCAGTTACACTGTGAGTTTGAAGCCCAGCCTGAGCTACAGGAGACCCTGTCACAAGAAAAAAAAAAAAAAGACAAAACCTCAAAATAAAACAAACCAAAACAAATAAACAAGGTTGGAGAGATGGCTTAGCAGCTGAGAGTCCTGAATGTTGCAGAGGACCTGGGTTCAGTTCCCAGAACCCATATGGTATTCAACAACTGTTTGTAACTCCAGTTCCAGGGGATCCAATGCCTTCTGACCTCCACCAGCACTGCATGTACAAGGTGCATTCATACACATGCAGGCATAATTTTTTTTTTTTTTGTATTTTTGAGACAGAGTCTCCCCGTAGCCCCTGCTGGCTTGGAACTCCCTATGTTGACTAGGCTGCCCTTGAACTCACAGAGATCTGCCTGTCTCTGCCTCCCGAGTGCTGGGATTAAAGGCAAGCGCCACCATGCCTGGTTTATACACATAAAATTTAAAAAGAACTGAAGGTACAAAGACAGAGACAATCTCACCACCAAATCACTTGTGAGGGTCACAGGCCAACAACCTCAGAGACATGGGCTGAGGACTCCCAGCTCTACTTGCCACTCACCATGCCCTGCTCCAGCGCCTTCTTGATGCGCCCGGCATCTGCCACTGGGAACCAGATCTCAGCAATGACGCACTGCTGGGTGACATCAATGTTACACATGTTCAGGATGTGGTACACAGCCTTCATCTTCTGCACTTTGACGACCCAAGACTGCCAGTTGGCAGCTGCTTCCTGCAGCAGGCGCTGGCGGTGAGACTCCGTTTGGGTGATGACCTGGGGGGCAGAGGGTCAAGGGACATTTGTGGCAGAAGTTGATATGGTGGCAGGAATGGAAGTTCTTCTGTCATAGTGGCTTCCCCTGCCCTGGGCTCCTTCCCCTGCCTTGGAAGAAGCTCACCAGACTTTACCACTCATGACCAGTTTCTCTTTCCTAGGAGAAGTTAGACCTTTGAGGCAGAGACTGTATCTTCTTTTTCTTCTAAGTTCCTCCTAGTGTTATTGCTGTGGGTTGAACTGTTTGTCATATTGTGTTTTGTCCATGTCCCCCAGAAAGATTATGTTGAAGTTCTAAACTCTGGTGCCTGGATTCTGACATATTTGGAAATAGGGTCCATGCAGATGTCATCAAGATGAGGCAGTACTGAATTAGTGTGACCCTACATCCAATAGGACTGATATCCTTAAAAATATGGAGATCAGCTGGGTGTGGTGGTGCACACCTTTAATCCCAGCGCTTGGGAGGCAGAGGCAGGTAGGTCTGTGAGTTTGAGGCCAGCCTGGTCTATATAGCAAGTTCCAGGCCAGCTGGAGCCAAAGGGAGACCCTGACTCAAAAAAGACGAAAAAAAAAAAAAATCTGGAGATCAAGGCACACAGCACACTGTGACAGCTATGGCAGTGACAGGAATGATGCATCCACTAGCCAAGGACACCAAGTTGCCGGTGGCCACCAGATACCAGATGAGGCAGGAAACTCCCTCGGCATCTTTGACAGGAGTATAGCACTGAGGACACCTTGAACATGGACCTCTGGCCTCCAGAACTGTGTAAGATCAATGTCTGAAGTCAAGGATGGTGGCACACATCTTTAATCCCTGCACTTGGGAGACAGAGGCAGGTGGATCTCTGAGACATCAAGGCCAGTCAAGTCTACACAGGCCAGCTGCAGCTACAAAACAACAAGAAAGAATCTCTGCTATTTGAAGACATCCTGTTTGTGGTCATTTGTTAGAGCAGATCCAAGACTAATTAATACGCTAACCAAAATGCTCCCCATAATAACCCCTCTAATAAATGACAAGGGAGATCATGAATGGGTGATTTGGTCCTCATAAAATTAATCTAATGGACTAGATGTTATGCTTTTATGATAGAATATGGTAACGTTTTCCAGTAACCTTTACATATGGCTACAGCAGTATACTATAAAAAGACACATCATAAATGTGATAGCCAGAGATAGCCAGACCCGTGATAGCCAGAGGCCCGCATATATGTCTTGAAGGATCACTTAAGGACGTAGGCTGGATGTATTGGTGCACACCTTTGATTCCACCATTCTGGAGGCAGAACCAGATGGATTTCTGTGAATTCCAGGGACATGGCTCAGTGGGTAAAGATACTTGCCACCAAGCCTGACAACCTGAGCTCAATCTCTGCTACCCACATAGTGGAAAGAGAACCAACTTCTGCAAGATGTCCTCTGACCTCTATATCCGAGCTGTAACACATGTATGAGCACACACACACACACACACACACACACACACAATAGATGAATAAGTAAACAAGTAAATGTAATTTGAAAAAAAAAAGAACAAAAGGCCAGAGGTGGTGGCTCATGCCTTTAATCCAAACACTTGGCAGACAGAGACAGGCAAATCTCTCTAAGATGAAGGCCAGCCTGAGTTCTAGGCCAGCTGGGGCTACAGAGAGACTCTGTCTCAAAAAAAAAAAAAAAAAAAAAAAACAGTTTTTTAAAAGGAGAAAGACAGAAAAAAAAGGAAGGAAGACCTGTTGACAGGCTAGGACTGAGTGCTAGCATACAGAAACTCTGGGACTCCAGGAAAGTGGACTCCAGGAGAGACCCCTAAGGTCAGTTGGTCAGTTGGTGACTTGATCCCATGACTACACCTGTCGAATGTCACCTTCCTGCCTCACAACCTATCTCCTAAAATCGCTGCCAGAAGGAGTTACCAGACACCAGATGCAGTCTTAGACTCATCCTTGGCTACTACTGGACAGAACAAAAGAAGTGGCCACTGGAGAAGCTGGTCGACCAGAATGCACCACATCCCTGAACAGAACTCTCCAACTCACACAGCGCATAAACCCAATCAGCATCATTTCTTTCTGAAATGTATCATGGAGTATTTGGGAAAAAGGACTTCAAGGAGAACCACTTGAGGGAAACAGCTATCGTGACAGTGGCCAGAAAGAGAAAGTGAAGATTAAAGAAATTAAATACAAATTTCTGCGACAGTGAGAAGTGTCTGCTAGTCGAAGTCTTTTAAAACACACATATGCCAGATGTGATGGCATATGCTTGTGACTCCAGCACTTGGGAGGCTGACACAGGATGACTGACATGAATTCAAGGTCAGCCTGGATTATACAGCAAGTATTAGGCCAGGTAGGGATACATAGGAAGACCCTGTCTCAATCAATCAATCAACCAACCAACCAAGCAATTGACCTAATTTCTAAATCCACACACTCACACACTGAGGATCTAGAATTGTACTGGCCTATCACAAGCAGCTATGAGAATTTAAACTTAATAAACATTAAATAATGGAAGGGGGCTAGTGAGGTGGCTCAGATGGTAAAGTGCTTGCCTTGCAACCTGAGCTGAAGCCCCAGGCATAGTACTCCTTGCTTAAAATCCTAGTTAGAGAGTCAAGGACAGGAGGATCCCCAAGGTTCACTGGCCAGCCAGCCTACCCTAATTGGTGTGCTCCAGGGGAACCCAAAGACCTCTCAGTTCCTGAGGATAACATCTAAAGTTGCCCTCTGACCTCTACACATGCACACACACACACACACACACACACACACACACACACACACACAAGTTATAATAAAATAAAATTTATTTTTATTAAATAGTAATTCAAATTCAGTCCCTTAGTGTCACTAGCCATGTTTTAATAACTCAACAGCCACCTGTGGCTCATGACTACAGTCCTGGAGAAATGAAAGTGCTTACCAAGGAAATGAATTGGAGATGCACTAAACGCTGACCAGACTTACTGTTTCCACAGTAGTTGATCAGTTTAACAACTCAGTACAGGTCAAACTGGTTGTTCAACTCGGTTGGCTGGTTAGTTGGGTTGCAGACTCACCAGGTGGAAGGCTGGTCATAATGGGCTCCTTTCATCAGATTCGGGCAGCTGCCCTAAGGCTGACTAGGGCTGCGGTCCATTCTAAATCGAGAAGCACATGACTGACGTGCAGAACCATCACCCCAGCTCACTGAACACTGTTTTCTAATTGTGCAATCTGCCACAGCTACAACCAGAACTTCAGAGCCAACAGTCCAGCCAGGGCCTTGGGGACAGGACTCACAAGGAACAGGCAGAGAGGTCCCTATCAGCTCACTGTCTGAAGCCCTCACTTACAGTGATTAAGTCTTCTAGCCTCATGTTGACGTTGGCCAGCATCTCTTTGCGCTCGGCTGCAGGCTCTGGACAGGGGTAGATGGTGGCTCGAAACCTGTGTTTAACACATTTAGAAAGGTGGGTTGCTACAGGAAGGCTTTTCAAATCCCTATTTTAGGAAGCCCTCGTTGGCTGACTTGGCCAGCCCTTTCATAAAATAACTCTTCTTGCCACTTAGATAAGAAGTCACAACAGCTGGGCAAAGCGACTCATATCTGTAAACCCCCAGTACTCAGCAGGTTGTGGCAGGAGGATTACAAGTTTGAGACCAGCCTGGCTTGGAACATAGTGAATTCCAAGCCAGCTGGGCTGCAGAGTGAGACCCTGTCTAAAAACAAACAGAAATTGAGTCACAGTCGGGATTCCTTACACATCCCTCAGGCTAGGAACAGCATCTGTGGTTCTGTTGCATGAATGAGTTCCATTCAAACCACAACACTGGTGAGCTGTTATGGAAATAAGACTGAGGCTTGACTGTCTCTTCTCCCCTCCTGAGTCTTCATGTATAGTGTCCTTCTGTGTGAGTCAGTTCAGCTTCCAAGGAGTTGCTTGTAACGCTCTGCCAACAGGACACGGTGGTGTAGGCCTGTGATCCCAGCTACTCAAGAAAATGATGCAGGGGGATTATAGGTTCAAAGCCTGCCTTGTCTATATGGAAAGTTCAAGGCCAGCCTGGAAAATTTAGGGAGACTCTCAAAATAAAAGCTAAAAGGTGGGACTAGAGAGATGGCTCAAGGGTTAAGAGCGCTGGACGTTCTTGCAGAGGACCTGGATTTTGCTCCCAGCACCCACATGGTGCTGTAACTCTAGTTCCAGGGGATCTGATATATTCTTCTGGCTCAAAGGCATTGCATGCATGTGGTGCACTTGCATACATGCACATAAACTATAAATAAATAAATAAATAAATAAATAAATAAATAAATAAATAAATAAATAAAATATATCTCCCCCCCATAAATAAATAAATAAGATAAATAAATAAATAAATAAATAAATAAATAAATGAGATTGTTCTGCAAAGGCAGAAGCAGCTGAGCCATGAAGTTTGCTTACTCCCCCACCACCTCCCCTGAGTCCTGGGGATCAAACTCAGGGCCTTCTGCATATCAGACAATCACCCTACCACCACGATACAGTTCCCATCTGAGGTGTCTGCTCTAAAGCAGAAAATAAAAGTGGAAGAGAATGAACTGAAATGGGCCAGACCTCCACTTTTGTTACCTTTACAATTATTCACATTCTCCCTGTTCACTTTCTCACAACTGTTAAAGTCAGTTGCATCGCTAACATCATCTTGGATGAGCTTTAGACAGTTATTCTAAAACCCTAACGGATCTCAGAGGGCCCAGTCATGTGTATTTTGCACAGCACGGCTCTTCACCCACTCTGGACCCCAGTCACCAAAACAGACTCTGACAACCTCTCTCACCCGTCACAGATCTTCTTGATCTTCTGCCTGAGTTGTTCTCCTTGATAAAATATGATGAATATATTCTTTTTAATTTCTTCTTTCTGGAAAATCAGAACAAAAAAAATACTGGCTTTCCTTCCTCCCTCCCTTCCTCCTCCCCTTCTTGCTCCCTCTCTCCTTTCCTCCCTTCCTCCCTCCACCCCTCCCTCCTCCCTTTCCTCCTTCCTCCCTCCCTCTCTTCCTCCCTTCCGTCCCTTTCTCAGTACTGAGGACGGAACTCCTGCATAAGCACTGTGCCACTGTGCTCTGCCTCAGCAGAACACAAATTACCAAGTCTTGAAAGGCTCAACGTAACAGTTGCACTATTGCTACAGCAGTGGGATCACAGCTGGACTTTGAATTCTGCTCTCAGCCTTCCAGTGAAGAGACAGGCTCACTGACTGCAGCAGCTAGACCAGGGACCTGGGCTATTTCAAGGCTCAAAATGGCAGTAGCTAGCCAGGTCATTAGAAGTAACCATAAACATCTGCTTTTCACTCATAAGTCTGTGTTTGATACTTAACAAAAGGAAAGCTGTGACTAAGGTTTGATTCGCCTAGCTACTTAATCCTCCAAAAACACTGCTGAGGCAGGGCGTGGTAGTGCACGCCTTTAATTCCAGCACTCTGGAGGTAGAGGCAGGAGGATCTCTGTGAGTTCCAGGTCAGCAGGGGCTTCACAGTGAGACACTGTCTCAAATAACAATAACAATGAAGAAAAATCCCACTGCTTAAACTGTATTTTTCAGGCTAGGATGGAGCTCAGTGGAAAAATGCTTGCCTAGCTAGCTTGTGCAAAGCCCTAGCAGTGCAAAAAAAAAAAAAACCTTATTTATAGATAAACAAATATGAACTGAAACAGTATGGTCTTTCACTGTTTCATTTGAGGAGCTTTAAAAAAGTTACATCCAATGAACTCATCACCTACCACTCAGCATCCTGGAATCAGGAATCACCTCAGGGAGAAACCATTTGCCAAGCCCATTAAGTGTTATGAAAATGCTGCACGCCCTTTAAGTCAGCAATCTAAGCTTCCTTGGAGTCACATCATAGAACTAATTCATAAGAAATACAAATCCACATGCCTAATTCCAGTACTAGGGGAGACTGGGGCAGGAAGATCTTGAGTTCAAGGCCAGGCTGGGATACATAGCAAGTCATTGATGCAAAACAACAATCAAAAAATTCACATGTATAAAGATGTTCATTATACTATCTACATTTGGGGAAAATTTGGAAATAAAATGTCCAAAAGTAGATTATGTCACATCAATTCATTGGAAATATTGGGCAACTATTACATTAATATGAGAATAAATAATCTTTTTCGTGATTGCTCATGGGAATAGTTTGGGGGTATTTTGGGATTCCTGGAATTGCCTACTTTGCATTATTTCCAAATGTCCCTCCTCCCATGGAAGCTGCTTGGTCTTTCCTGGGTCTTTTAGGCCATCTAGTCTCTTGATCCATTGGAATCAGGGATCCATTCTGACTTCCTGATAGGCATTGGATAACCTCGGTCCTTCCTCAGACATTTCCTTCATAAATACTCTCTACCACTGTAACTACTATGTGTCAAAACATGATTATGAGGTGATGATTCAATGTCAAACTTTAAAATAACTTATGTAGGATGCCTCTTATGTAGGATGTCACTTGGGAGGTGGAGGCAGGAGAATCAGGAATTCAAACCTGTCTAGGCTACAGAGAGAGGCTGGGGCCAGCCTGGGCTACATGAGATAATCTTTTAAAAAAAAAAAGAAAAAAAAATAGGGCCAGAGAGATAACTCAACAGTTAAGAGCACAGGCTGCTCTTGCAAAGAACCTGGATTTGGTTCCCAGCACCCACATGGCCGCTAACAACTCCAGTTCCAGGGAATCTGATGCCCTCCACATGCATTGCATGCATGGGTACACTTACAGGTAAAATACTCATACACATAAAATAAAAATAAATAAATAGGGGCTTGAGAGATGGCTCAGCAGTTAAGAACTATGGCTGTTCTTGCAGAAGACCCAGATTCGAATCCCAGCACCCACATGGCAACTAACAACTGTCCGTAACTCCAGGTCCAGGGGATCTGACAGCCTCTTCTGTCCTCCGCAGGCATTGCACAACACAGGTGCACTTGCCTACATGCAGGCCATACACACATACACATAAAATAAAAATAAATAAAATTAAAAATAAGTAAACCAGAAAAACAAAAAACAAAATAAGTAACTAATAAAAAAGTCACAGGATTATGAAGGAAGTTTTCATATTATTACAAATGAAAAGGAAAATAATTTCCATGTAGAGAATCATATAAAATTATAACTGCTGCCAGGCATGGTGATGCATACTTTTAATCCCAGTAATTGGGAAGCAGAAGCAGGTGGATTGCTGCGAAATCAAAGCCAGCCTGGAATGGTCTACATAGTGAGTTCCAGGTCAGCTGGGGTTACACAATGAGAACCTGTCTCAAAAAAAATAAATAAATAAAATTAATTAATTAATTAATTGATTGATTAAAATAGACATTGGAGTGCTATAGAGTATGGTTTGTGTTTTTTATTTTTATTTTGTTTTTAACTATGAAGTTTTTTATCAAATGAAACTTTAATTTTTTTTTTTTTTTTTTTTTTTTTTTTTTTTTAAAAAAAAAAAAAAAAAAAAAAAAAAAAAGAGGACGATAAATCTTTCACTGTGATATATCAAAATAATCCTGAAACTCACTATGTAGACCAAGCTGGCCTTGAACTCACAGAGATCCACCTGCCTCTGCCTCCCGAGTGCTGGGATTAAAGGCATGTACCACCATGACCGGCGAAACTTTAATTTTTTTTAGCTTCTAATCTGTAAAAGATTGTAGACATTCAAAACTAAGCCAAGCTTCCTAGGATGAAAGAGCAGGTGGATTTAAACACTAATTGGAAGGGTGGAGGAAGCACCTAGCAGAATTAAGAGCAATAAATGTGCAGCCCTCAGGGAAGAGCCTTCTCTTTGGAAGCCTGTGGGCTGTAGGAAGCAAGCATCTCTCTCTTCAACATCAAGTAAGAGGTTGTAAGAACCGCAGGCCTTTGGGTTCTGCCCTGGCTGTACCCAGGTGACTTTGTGCTTCCTGGGCAAATGAAGAAACTGACCTAAATAGACTCTGGGTGCTTTGTGATTAAGACAGTGGCTGCCTGGTATGGCACTAATATACTAAGTTTCTAGGAACAAGATAGTCACACAGCTTGGAGGAATGAATCAATTGTGAGGTGTAAGTAGAATCAGTCCTTGAACGGTCCTTTTATATGTGTTAAACTTAAAAAGGGGAAAAAATGTGGGGCTGGAGAGATGGTTTGGTGCTTAAGCGCACTGACTGCTTTTGCAGAGGACCTGGGTTTGATAACCTTCCATAACTCCAGTTCCAGGGAATCCGATGCCCTCTTCTAGTCGCCATGGGCAATGCACATTTGTGGTACACCTACATGCAGTCAAAACACTCTTACACATAAAATAACTAAATTTTGTTTTTAAAAGCAAAAAAAGTGAAATGGAGAAAAAAGAAGAGGGAAGAAAAGAGGAGGAAGGGATGAGAAAGAGAACAGGAAAGGAAAAGAGAAAGGAAATAGATATTAGCTTGGTAGAACTACGGACTCCATGTTCTGAGAGGAGACTCGGAGCTAGTGCCCTTCGTGCACGCCCAGCTGCCCACCGTCACAGGATCCTCCAGGAGTGTGTCCATCTCGCTGAACTTCAGGTAGACATTTCCCCGGCAAACTCTCCACAGCAGCCTCTCAAAGGAAGCCATCCTTTCCCTGTTAATCACGCCGGCAGTGAACCTGGACAATTAGAAGGCCTGTGTGAGGGATGGTGGGCAGTCCTGGAAAGAGGACCATCCCATGCAGCTCCAGGGTAGGGGCCACAAAGCCACACATATCCCAACTCTAACTTGCCCAAGTCCCGTTGGGTCACATGTTTTCTTTGATATTTTGAGGTTTCCTTAGCCATCCCAATACTGTATATACTAAACTTTATGTATTTATTATGCAATATTATAGTCATTGGTTTCAATAAAAATATGATAAATTGACTATTATAGTGTGGTCTCTATGTTCAGCAATGTTTACCAAAGGTCTCTCTGCATTTTCACCAAAAAAAGAAACAAAAGAAAGGTAATATGTTAAGAGGGAAACACACTGATTTCTAGATGTGCTAGTTTGGTTTCCTGCTGCTGTGATAAAACACTGACCAAAAGCAACTTGGAGAGGAGGAAAGGGTTGTTTGGCTCACACCTCGCAGTCCATCACTGAGGGAAACTAAAGTAGGAACTCAAGACAAACCTGGGCAGGGACTGAAGCAGAGAACACAGACGAGGCTGCTTACTGGTTTACTCCCTCCTGCCTACTCTCAGCCTGCTCGCTCTCTCTCTCTCTCTCTCTCTCTCTCTCTCTCTCTCTCTCTCTGGTCTTTTTGAGACAGGGTCTCCCTGTAACCACAGCTGACCTGGAACTCACTATGTAGACCAGGCTGGCCCTCAAACTCACAGAGATCCACCTGCTTCTACCTCCTGAGTGCTGGGACTAAAGGCATGTACCACCACCCCAGGCCAAGCGTGCTTTCTTATACAACCAGGAATACCTACCCAGGGGTGGCACCACTCACAGTGGGCTGAGCTCTCCCATATCACTCAATAATCAAGAAAACGTTGGGGCTGGAGAGGTGGCTCAGCAGTTAAGGGCACTGGCTGCTCTTGCAGAGGACCCAAGTTTGGGTTCAGTTCCCAGTACCCACGTGATGGTTAACAACCATCTGTAACTCCAGTTACAGATCTGGTGGCTTCTTTTAACTTCTGTGGGCATTGCATAATATGAATGCACTTACATACATGCAGGTAAAACACTCATACACATTAATTACATAAATAAATAAATAAATAAATAACCAAATAATAAATAAAGTAGATAAATAAATAAAATAAATATTCCCTGGAACTAGAGCTATGGAAAGTTGCTAGCTACCATGTGGGTGCTGTGAATCAAACCCAGGTCCTCTGCAAGAGCAGCCAGTGCTCTCAGCCACTGAGCTATCTCTCCAGCCCTGAAAATTAAAATATTTTTAAAAAAGAAAAGAAAATGTCCCACAAACATGCCCACAGGCTAGTTTGATAGAGGAGATTCCTTAGTTGAGGTTCCTTCCTCCCAGGTGGCTCCAGTTTGTGTCAAGTTGACAAAAACCAACCAGCATGCTAGCTATCTCTATTTTTCCATCATATTGGTCCTTGGATTATTAATGACCCAAACTTCTCTCTTTTTTAAACAATGGGGGTTTTTAGACTTATTTTATTTTCGATTATGTGTATGTGTGTCTCTGTGTGAGTATATGTGAGTGTAGTGTCTTCAGAGGCTAGAAGAGGGTGATGAATCTTCTGGAGCTAGAGTTACAGGCAATTGTGAGCCACCCAACATGAGTGCTAGGAGTCAAATTTGGGTCCTCTGCAAGGACAGCAAATGTTCTTAATCACTGAGCAATCCTTCTAGTCCAACCCAAACTTCTCATTCAGCCTTCAAAATGTGTCTTTTATTGGTTTATTACATTAAAAGTTTGTCGATCCTGTATTACTTTCAGATCAAATTTCAAGAAACATTTTCTTTCCATTAATTCAATACATAGTGACTCAAATAGCAGGCCCACAAATAGCTACTGAATTTTTTAAAAAGTCAGGGACACCAGGCTTGGTAGTACATGCCTTTAATCTCAGCACTGGAGAGGTGGAAGCAGGAGGATCTCTGTGAGATTGAAGCCAGCTTGGTCTACATAGCCAGTTCCAGGCCAGCTGGGGATACAGGGAGACCCTGTCTCAGAAAGATCAAACAACAATAACAATAATATTCAGGGATCTCAAACTCACAATGTTTGGAACTGCTTTAACATCCATCAATATCACATAAACACTGAATGAAATCCCAATTTGAAATGTCACATATTTTCACTGCTCTTAAACTCTTAAAAAAGCAAAACAAAGGTCAAAAACAAAAACCTCAAACTCAAATTCCAAATGCATTTTCTCAAAGATAAGGGAGCAAAAAGGGAGTTATATGTAAATAATGAGCCTCACACTTTTCCCATGTGAGAGCAATACACACAAGTCCCTAACCTGGGAAATATAAGTACAACCATTAACAAGGGGCACACCCTCCCTCATCCCTGCCCACCTTGTAAAGTTAGCCCCTGGGTCTATTCTTGCACAGAAGCCTTGTATTCACAGGAAATAGTTCCATCCCAGTGGCTCTTTGTTCATTCCTTCATCAGTCAGGGAGATCTATAACATGCCTGGCATCAAGTCAAGGACTACCTTACTATCTACACCCAACTAATGGGAGACTAAGTTACACTGACCCCAACTTTCCAGTCATGAAAGCAGGCATGGGTCTTAACTCCAAGAGACCAGAAGTATCTTCAACAAAGAAATCTTCAGCCAAATTGGTTTCTGTCTGAAAGACAAATACCACCCATCATTAAATGCACTGATACTTTAAAAACAACCCTGCCCTCAAGGAGTGGTCTGGTTTTAATGAAGCTTTTCTTTTCTTTAAAGTTATTTTTATTTTATGAGTGTTATGGCTGCATGTATGTAAGTGCATTCATGTCATACAGTGCCTGCAGAGGACAGAAGAGGTTGTTGGATCCCCTGGAACTGGTGTTACGAAAGGTTGTTAGCCACCATGTGGGTGCTGGGATTCAAACCCGGTCCTCTGCAAGAGCAGTCAGTGCTCTTAACCACTGAGCCACCTCTCCAGCCCTGTTTAACAGAATTGGACAAATAGAGTTCCTCTTGTCAAAACAAAAATCTCCTCCCGGTATCTTCTTGCCCAAACCCTAAATCTGTTCTGACAACCCGTTCTGTCAGGCCATTTTAAACACATACTTTTTTTTTTTTTGGTCTTTTTGAGACAGGGTCTCCCTGTAGCCCCAGCTTTCCTGGACGCCCCTATGTAGACCAGGCTGGCCTTGAACTCACAGAGATCCGCCTGCCTCTGCCTCCAGAGTGCTGGGATTAAAGGTGTGTACCACCCCACTGGCGCTTTTTTTTTTTTTTATGTGTATGAGTGTTATGCCTGCATGTAAGTAAGTGCACCCATGTCGTGCAATGCCCACAGAGGACAGAAGGACAGAAGAGGCTGTTGGATCCTCTGGAACTGGAGTTACGGACAGTTGTTAGCTGCCATGTGGGTGCTGGGATTCAAACCTGGGTCTTCTGCAAGAACAGTCAGTGTTCTTAACCGCTGAGCCATCTCTCCAGCCCCTGAACACATACTTTTTAATGAGCACTATCATATTTTTGCCTTCAATTGAACTAGCACCACAGTTACTCCACCTAGAATACTCTCCCCTCACCAATGATCTGGCCATGGGACAAGAAACAGAGTGTTTTATTCACAGTCCAGACCAGGCAGTTTTCAAAATGTTAAGTTTGGAACTCAGAGGAAAAGATTCTTTAATAAATAGTCACCCTCCCTCCAAGAAATACCTCAAAAAAGTCCTGAGTTTTCTTCAGGAGATATTTGAGTTCTGTCAGTTCTAGAAAGCTCTTCTTCAAAGCCTGTTGGTTCTGGTTGGCTTCCTGTAATTCTCCTTCCAATTTTTCTAGAATGGTCTATGCAAGGGGAAAAAATTAAGGTAAGCCAGGCAAAAAGTACTGACATGTCTACTCTATATTAACCATAATCACTGACTAAAAATCAAAGAAGCATTTGGTGTATCATGACACAGCTGAAGGTGTCTGGCCCTTCCAACTACAAACTCGGTATTTTTGTAGAGTGTAGCTACAGGTGTCTGCAGTGCACTGTCACCATCTAATGCGGATCACGAAAAACACTCAGGGATGGAAGACGGCCTTGTGAGGCAGACACAGTGTCTTCCCCATATTTACAACCTTCAAACGGGAAGACGGTTTACACATGGAGAATTCATTCTGCCCTAAACACATTGTAATGATTGGTTGATATCTGTATCAACTCCAGACCACCGCTGGGTCTGTGGATCTGAAGAGCCAGGTACAAGTAAGAGGAAAAGGCCACAGAGAAAAGTGGTTACAAAAAGCAAGAAGGAAGAACCCAGCCAAGGAACAGCTTCTTTTCCCAAAGGAACACATAAAAAGGATAAAGCTGGTGGTAAAATCTGATGAGAAAAACCATCAGCAAAATCACATGGAGGTGGTGGTCATGTTTTATAGGATAATCTGAAAAAAAATTTTAGTTGTTGTTTTAGAATGGTCAAAGAGTTATAGATGGTTGTTAGCCACCATGTAGGTGCTGGGATTTGTGCCTGGGTCTTCTGCAAGAGCAACCAGTGCTCTTAACTGCTGAGCCATCTTTTCAGCCTCCTATTCTAAACATTTTTAAACCTGTTCAAGGAATGCTTATACCAAAAAGAGATTAAAAAATAAACATTAAGAAAGGAAGTTGGACTTTCTTTTTTCTACCATCTTGGCACCGGTGGAGGCCTGCTGGGAACAGGACTTCTAAAGGGCAAATATGTCTGGAAGTCTGTGGATCCCAGCACCCAATGGCAGTTAACCATCTGTAACTACAGTGCCAGGGACTCTGTCACCTTCTGACCACAAGGGCATTGCATGACACGGATGCACTTACACAAATGCAGGCAATACACTCATACACATAAAATAAAAATAATAAATAAAATATTAAAATAATAATAAAACATTTTTTTAAAAAGAAAGGATGTTGTTGACAATCTGCCCCTTGAAAAAAAGCTTCTTAACAGCAGACACAATTGAATATTTTAAACTAGGGATGGTGAAACTTGGAATTTGTATCCACAGTTGGAGAACAGTCAGTGAAACCAGTCAGCTCCTACTAAATGAGTTAGATCACCTTTTTTTTAAGCTGAAAAGAGCCAGTCTACTAATTGTTTTGCACCAGGCAGATAATTAGAAAGCATCCCATTACGCCAACATTGGCACATTCAGGGCACCATATAGATAACACTTCTCTGCCTATGAGAAACATGGAGGAAACCTCTCCTCAAACAGAACCGTGATAAGAAAGAAAAGCAGTGCTCTCCTAATCAACCTGGGAGAAGCCCTGGAAATTGTATCCTGGGATTTTCCTAAGGTAAGCAACCCTGAAAAGTAGCAACCCATCCACTTGCAAACCATGTAAAGGACCCATGATCTGTGTGACTGTTCTTCTCTAGGGGATGGTAAAGTGAACACTTACCTCCAGGGTGATCATTTCCCGGGGAAGAGGAGTCTCTGGGTCCTTCTCCGGCAGCTGGATTATAATCTCATTTTGCATCTCATCTTCTAAAAAGCCTGAAGGAGAGTACAGGTGATCCTGGGTTCTCAGAATTAAGTGGAGTCCCAGAGAACAGATGTCTTTGGGCCAGCTGGGCTATCTGAGCTGTCCTAACCCCTGCCCTAGTAGCTGGTCCCGACACCAACCTCCTGCACCCCCTGCTTCTAGAATCACCTTAGAAAGCAGTGAGTCATGCCAAGTAAGCATGGTGGGTAAAGTCTACGAACTATTTACCTCTTTGTTGGTTTAGACAGTAAGGGGGAAAGTGGCTTACGGAGGATTCTCTCCAGGGACTCACATCTTCGGACTTCATTTACAAATCTCCTCTGGAAGCTGTTCACATTTGCATTTAACTGTGTGGAGGGGGGAACCACAGGCTTACATTAGGGAGCAACAGCTGCCAGCATCTTGCCTCTGTATCATCTTTTTTTTTTTTCTGTCTTTTTGAGACAGGGTCTCTCTGTAGCCACAGCTGACCTGGAACTCACTATGTAGACCAGGCTGGCCTCAAACTCACAAGTGCTGGGATTAAAGGCATGCGCCACCACACCCGGCTTTGTATCATCTTTTTAATGCTGGAGACTGTTGCTGAGAATGTGTGAGAACTAGACAGCTCCCTACCTAAACCAGGTGCATTTCAGGCAAAACACATCTTGCTGTTCTTACACTCAATTTCTAAACACCTCAGCCCGAGTTCTCATACTTCTAAGAAACAAATTCTCCCACGTCTAAGGTTTCCTTGTCTCAGCCGCACTTATTATCCAAATGAGCCTGCCAACCCCCGTGGGATGAGGAATACGAGGGGGCTTCTAAAAGCCTCACAGGTCTATGCAAGGCACATCCTTGTCATCAACAGGAATTCAATCCTTCTGGGACTAACTCTCAGCTTAGCCCAAACAGGTTACAGAGGACTGGCCTCATGGCTCTTCCTGAGCTAGCAACTAAACATACAAAGAACAAGACAGTGGCTTCCCCTGGTCTGACAACTCAGAGGAGCTAACCTTTCTTTCTATCTTTCTTTCTTTTTCTTTCTTTCTTTCTTTCTTTCTTTCTTTCTTTCTATCTTTCTTTCTTTTTCTTTCTTTCTTTCTTTCTTTCTTTCTATCTTTCTTTCTTTTTCTTTCTTTCTTTCTTTCTTTCTTTCTTTTCCTTCTTTCTTTCTTTCCTCTCTCTCTCTCTCTCTCTCTCTCTCTCTTTCTCTCTCTCTCTCCCTCCCTCCCTCCCTTCCTACACATTTTTTGGTCTTTTTGAGACAGGGTCTCCCTGTAGCTCCCGCTGGCCTGGCTGGCCTGGAACTCACTATGTAGACCAGGCCTGCCTCTGCCACCCAAGTGCTGAGACTAAAGGCGTGCACCACCATGCCAGGCAGTATTTATTTTTTAAAATAGAAGCCAAGTGTGGTGGCACACACCTTTAATTACAGCCCTGGAGAGGCAGAGGCAGGCAGATCTCTGTGAGATGGAGGCCAGCCTGGGGCTACAGGGAGTAGTGAATGTAGTGAACTTAGTGAGTTCCAGGCCAGCTGGGGCTACAGGGAGACTGTCTCAAAAAGACCAAAAAATAAAATAAAATAATAACAACAGTAACAAAATAAAATAAAATTGGAGCCGGGTGTAGTGGTGCACACCTTTGATCCCAGCACTCAGGAGGCAGAGGCAGGTGAATCTCTGTGAGTTCAAGGCCAGCCTGGTCTACATAGTGAGTTCCAGGTCAGCCAGGGCTACACAGTGAGCCCCTGTCCCAAAAAATAAAAATTAAGAAAACATAACCCACAGTTAATCACAGTTCTAATTCAGTGATTGTATTAAAGCTTTAACACATTCATGTGGCACACACCTTAGATCCCAGCACTGGAGGCAGAGGCAGGCCTGGTTTACATAGTGAGTTTCAGGCCCTGCCCCCCAAAAGAAACAAAAGCCACATTCCTATACATTTCTACAAAGGGAAAGTTTCTTTGACAACAAAGAAATGTGGAGAAATGTTATCTCCCGACCCCACTTTCCTCTTATCTGCAGAGTATGCAGTACCTACATCTTTGAACTGAACCAACCCAAGCTCTCCAAGCTCAGCTACGCAGCAGTAAGCAGCCTCCACCTGGAGGAACAGCTGGGAAAGACACATCTCCTCACTCCGAAACACAGACGCCATCTTGACCCAGCCTTAGACTGGAGGGGAAAAAAAAAGAGAGATTTAAGGCAATTAATTATGAAATTCTTAATGTGATTTCTTTTAATTACAATAAAAAAAATCAGGGATGGGGATAGAGCTTAATGGCAAAAGAACTGATAAAGCATGTATGAGATCCTAAGTAAAATCCTGTACCACACACGAAGAAGGAAGGAAGAAAGGGAGGGAGGGAGGGAGGGAGGGAGGGAGGAAGGAAGGAAGGAAGGAAGGAAGGAAGGAAGGAAGGAAGGAAGGAAGGAAGGAAGGAAGGAAGAAAGGGAGGGAGGGAGGAAAGGGAAGGGAAGGAAAGGGAAGGGAGAAAAAAAGCTGAGTTACGCCGGGCATGGTGGCACACATTTATAATCTGAGCAGCACTTGGGAGGTACAGTCAGAAGGATCAGAAGTTCAGTGTAATCTCCATATACACAGGGAGTTCAAGGCCAGTCTGAGCTACATGAGACTGTCTCAACTCCTCTCCCCCATAAAAATTCAAAATCTAAGGGTGCTAAGGATATGACTCTGGTAGAATGCTTGCTTAACATGCACAAAGCCCCTGGTTTAATCCCCAACACTAAAATTAATTAAATTTAAATTCATGTAAGTTCAAGAGTAACTCAAGGCATATAGCAAGAACTCATCTTAAAAAAGAACAAGTGTTGTAGCACATACATGGAATCCCAGAACTTGGATGGTGGAGATAGGAGGCCAGCATTAGCTACATAGTGAGTTCAAAGCCAGCTTGGGGGTCCTGAAGAGATGGCTTAGTGGTTAAGAGCACTTACTTCCTGCTTTTCCAGAGGACCTGTGTTCAAGTGACTTCCAACTACCTGTAACTCCAGCTCTTCTGGTCTCCATGGGCACCCACACACACATGGCATACACACACACACACACACACACACACACACACACACAGATATAAAAATAAATAAATAAATCTTTTTAAAAATGCGGGTGTAATGGCACATACATTTAATCCCAGCATTTGGAAGGCAGAGGTAAGTAGAGGCAGGCAGAGGCATGCAGATGTCTGTGAGTTCGAGGCCAGCCTGGTCTACATAAGGAGTTCCAGGTCAGTCAGAGTCACATAGTGGGACCTTGTCTTAAAAAAAACAAAAACAGCCGGGCGTGGTGGTGCACGCCTTTAATCCCAGCACTTGGGAGGCAGAGGCAGGCAGATCTTTGTGCATTCGAGGCCAGCCTGATCTACATAGTGAGTTCCAGGACAGCTGGGGCTACAGGGAGACCCTGTCGCAAAAAGACAGAAAAAAAAAAAAAAAAAAAAAAAAAAAAAAAACATGAAACAAAAACACCAGCTTGGACTACAAGAAACCCTGTCTCAAAACAAACAGCCTCTCGTGGTGGCACACACCTTTAATCCCTGGACTAGGGAGCCAGTGGCAGGTGGATCTCTGTGAGTTCAAGGCCAGCCTGGTCTACATAGTGAGTTCCAGGACAGCAAGGGCTACAGAGAGACCCTGTCTCAAAAAAAAAAGACACACAAAAAAAAAATTCTAAGCCAACAAGGATTAGTCCTGGTTTTAAATATTTAAGAATATAAACAAGCATAAGACAGCATTTCTCACTATCTGGTTCACCAAAAATTTAAAAATGATTAAAGGGGTTGGAGAAATGGCTCAGTGGTTAAGTCACTGGCTGCTCTTGCAGAGTACCAGGGTTCAATTCCCAGCATCCACATGGTGGCTAACACTCATCCCTAATTCCAGTTCCAGGGGAATCCGAAGCCCTCTCTGACCTTCTTGGGCATTGCACAACACGGATGCACTTGCAAACATGCAGGCAATACACTCATACACATAAAATAAAAATAATAAATTAAAAAATATATGATTAAAGAGCTAGGGTTATAGCTTAGTAGTGGAGCACTTGCCCAGTATGAGCAAGGCTCTGGGTTCCATCCCCAACACACACACACGCACACACACACACACACACACACAGACGCACGCATGCACACACACACACACACACACACACACAGACGCACGCACACAGACAAAGATGAATGATTACAGCCCTAGGTTGCAGAAGTTGAGAGAAAGCAGGTCCTCGCCTACACTCCTGGCTGAAATTCAGTCTATCTCTGTAGATATCTATAAACCATTATTTCATATTCATGATAAACCTGGATATGTGTGGAGAAATAAATGCACAAAGATGTTTCTTATGACACTAGAAATAATAATTATAGGAGATGGAGAGATGGCTCAGTGGTTAAGGGCACTGACTGCTCTTCCAGAGGACCCGGGTTCAGTTCCCAGTACCCACATGGTGGCTAACAACTATCTATAACTCCAGTTCCAGAGGATCCGATGGCTTCTTCTGACCTTTTCAGGACTTGCACAACACAGGTGTACTTACATTTATGTAGGCAATACATTCATACACATAAAGTAAAAATATTTTAAAACCACCAATAGCTGGGCATGGTGGTGCATGCCTTTAATCCCAGCACTTGAAAGGGAGAGGCAGGTGGATCTCTATGAGTTGGAGGCTAGCCTGGTCTACATAGTAAGTTCTAGGCCAACCAGGGCTATACAATGAAACCTTGTCTTGAACAAAACAAAAACCCCCATAAACCCATAACACAAAGCTGAAACTTAAGAACACCAATATGATGCCACAGGTGGAAAAGTCCACCCTGACCTTACATGATGGATCACAGCCACAACACAGGCACTCTGAACAAATGATGAAAATTTCCCTTGGACTATGTGTGTGTAATGAATTTTATATGTAGAGTTGTGTCCCATCCCCAAGATATTGTATTGCGTATGTGTATATGTTGCAAAATTTGAATCCAAAATAGTTTTGGCACCAAGCATTTTGCCTAAGGGATGCTCAAGCTGCATACAGCAGCCCACACTCAACAGGTGGGCTCTGCCCCCAGGTTTCACTGTGAAGCAGAGAGAGTAAGAACCAAGGCCTTGGCTCTCAAAGCTACTGTTTTCTACCCATGCAGTATAAGCAATAAGGAGCTTTACAGAAGCTCAGAGATAATGCATTCCAAACCATGTGCGAGGTTTGTGACTCAACATTTCCTCATCCCCAAAACCTTGAAGAGCCTGGTGAAATAGTTCGGTGGGAAAAGGTTCTTGCCACCTGGCCTGAGTCTCATCCTCAGACCCACAATGTGAAGGCAGAGAACAGACCCACACAGACTGTCTTCTGACCTCCATGCACAGGCTGGGGCATAAGCACACATACACTATGAGTAAATAAATGCAATAAATAAATAAATAAAAATAAATGAATCCCTTAATGCAGAGGGGTCAATGAATGCCCAAGTTTTCACCTGACAGATCATCAGGTTCAGAGGTCTGGCAGCCAACCCACCCGACCCACGAGGGCCTCCAACCCATTGGCAGTTGGGAACCACTTTCCTATCATCTGTCTCCCTCAGAGCCTAGAACTGTGTGTTGGATTTGCTTCCCCATCTCACCCCATGGCCCAAAGTCAGGAAACCCCCAAGGTATGTAGGTCCTGGACTTCAGTCCTAAAATCCCCATTATCCTTTCCCTCTGGCTGGGGTATAGACCCCGCCCCCCATTCTTGTCCCTATCCAACCCCCAGGGCCTTACTTCACAAAATATATCTGGACCCAACTCTAAGTCCTAAGATCAGGATGCTTCTACTTCATCATCCGCCAGGCTTAGACTCTCCCCTGGTTCCATCCATAAGGGGTCCCTTCCCCATCACCCTTCCTCCTAATTCAGTGACAAGTTTTCCCAGACTGGTACCCCTCCAAGTCTGGAGGATCTAGGGGGCTCATCTGTTCTAAAAATGCCCTCAACTACATTCCCAAATCTTCTTCTCTGACTGTGTACCTCTTTCCCAAACCTTCTCCCCCAAAACCCTTCCTTAGAACTCTTCTCCTGGACCTGTGGGGCCCAGACACCCCCACACAATCAGACACACTCATGAGAAAAAAAAGCCATGGTGCCCAGGGACTGGTTGACTTTAGAGTCTGTTGGAGCAGAGGGCAAGAAAGACATTCTCTAGGCTGATCACTAAACTGAAGTCCACGTGACAGCAAGCGGGCAAAGGGGACTGTCCAACGCACACATGAATGCTCCCACATGCACACACACACACACACACACACACACACGTTCCTCCAGAGGGCCCTCCTGCAGCTCCTCTAAACGGTCTCCCACCAAGTCAGCCTGGAACAACTACCACACTTCCAGCATGGATTCGCTTTATAATCTGTGGCATATATCTATTACCTGCCAAAGCCTGAGTCTATTTGTCATCCCATCAGGATAAAGTCTAAAGCCTTTAAGCTGTCTGAGAAAAGGACTGTGGATATGATCTCTGACTTCTCTCTCTTCATCTGCCTTCACACCTACCTTAGGGCCTTGGCTCATGCTGCCCCTTGGGTTTGGAACCTCAATTTTTCCTCTCCACCTTCCATCCAACATTCCATAGACTTCTGTCATCCCTCCACTTTTTCCATGAGCTTTCCTGACCACCCCACCACTCCCAGTAACCTAAGCCACCTCCTGTCAGCTGCCAGAATATCAGTCAATCATTTATAAGAGGTACCCCTGTATTGCCAGCAAAATCCTACTTAGCAATTCTCATTCTAGCATGGAGCCAGCTCAGTATTAACCACAAAGTGCTCAAAAATGATTCCTGATTTATTTATTTTCTTCACGCTCCAGAAGTACATGGGCCAAAATGAGTCAGAAGTTTTCTTACTCCTTTATCTGATGCATAAAACATGTGTTCACAGAATAAACATAAAACATCAGCTTTGTACAGACCAAAAAGCATGATAGGAAGACCCTTCTCACCTGAGTTTCCTCCAAGCTGTTTCAGGGTTGGGGGATCACTGCCCCAGTTCTTGAAGCACTAAGGGACAAGCAAAGGCAGCTCAGCAGCCAGCCAGTGTCCCAGGGCCCAGGTGACAGAGGCCACCCTGCCTGTCCCTGCTGCGGCGCACCCTCCCGGCTCCCTCTCCCTCACCCTGTAG